GTTACTAAGAGTCCCGTTATTGCTGAGACAAACGTATACTTGGCAAAATCACACAGTTGTCTATAAAAATAGGGATAGCATAAAAATGATTTCAAGAGATGCACAAAAAGTAGCTAGCTGCCATTTTACCCTTCCCCGATCGAGCCGACCCATTCGTGGTACAATTATACTATTAATATAGCTGCAGCATGTCTAGTTAGTGTAATATTGCGGTACGTGCGAAGTCGAAATTGAAGTGGATCTTGTTAAGGCTACGGTACAAGTTTACGTCGTGGCATTTGAGTTACTAAGAGCCCCGTTATTGCTGAGACAAACGTTTACTTCAAAAAGCAAAATCACACAGTTGTCTTTGAAAATAGGGATATCATAAAAATCGTTTCAAGAGATGCACAAAAAGTAGCTAAGGGTTTGCTGTACGTTGCTGAATCTACGTCAGTTGCTTTTGATTATAATGAAATATGTCTACTCATCCCCAAGGTACAAGGGGCAGTTATTTGTAGAAGCTAGTAGTTGTCAATTACCTAAACGTGAATACGAAGTCATTCAGAGTGTCATAGAACTACACAATGGTCAGGGACGCGTAGTGATTAAATGTGTATCTTCAACTTTATATTATCTAACAAAAAATATGCTGCTGGTTCAAGTTTACAAAATGATCAGAGTATTTATGTAAATAAAATTAAACATAATTTTGTTTCGCCTGTTACATTAGTAGAAATATCAATGTTAAATATAGATAAAAACTTGGACCATAATGATATAATTAAATTACTAAATGTTTTAAACAAATTTAGACAGTGTTTTTCTTTTTCAATAAAGTAATCTATTAGAACAAAAAAGTTACGTAAATTCTTGTCTAGAATGTGCTCACAGCAAAAACCCAGCTGGTAAGATAGCTGGACAATTGCATTTAATACCGAAAGCTAATAGACCATTTGAAACTATCCATATTGGTCATATAGGGCTCTTTGTGCGCAGTAAAAAGAAAAACTATTATTTGTTACTAATAATTGATGCATTCATTAAATTTATTATCCTAATACCAGTAAAAAAAGTACAAAAACAATTAATTCCATCAGAGCAATAAAGCATTATTGCATGCCTCACAACATGAGAAAGTGCTCTACTATCGATATGTGGCCATATCTGAATTTCGCTACATAAAATCGTTCTTATACTTTTAGCTAGACATCAAATCCATATTATTATTAACGTTACAATATCTACAGACATTGAATTATAGAATTAGTTTATTTTCTAATTGATTCACTTTAGATTACATAACAAAAAAAAACGTAAATGAAAAAAATGGACTGACGTTAGTTCGTCCGTGCGTCGTGAGTCTTCTCGCTTAATAGAAGTGTAAGCTAATAGGTTGAGATAATATATACAGTATTAAATAAGATTCCATATGTTCGAAGGAGGATCCTTATTGATTTTTGTTATTGAACTCGACACCGTTTAAAAGTTATTTATTGTTTTAATTATAAATTTCATTTAATATTGATGAAAAAAAAAAAGGTTAATGAAGCGTCCACTTTTGGATGTTCTAAATTATTTTCACACTTTTGGCGTCACAAGAAGACTCATTTCCGCTAGAGGAACCTCATTTACATTTAAACGGTTCAATGAATATTTAGACTCGTTAGGTATCAAGCACGTGCTGAATGCTGTTGCCACTCCTCGTGCTACTGGGCAAATAGAACGATATAAACATTTATGAGACGAATATGTAAGTGACATTCAGTGTTGATTAAATAGTACAACGAATAAAACAATGGAACCAACGGTTCTTGGTACAGATTAATGTCTTAAATGATTCCAATAATGAAAATGCACAAAATACTAATAATATTGACAGTATTAGGAATGAAATATCGCAACGAATTAAAATTCACCAAACAAAACAAAAGGAGCAGTTTGATAAGAAGCAGAAGTTCTTTCTAGGTGATTTGGTTAAAATAGGGAGAGAGAGAGAGAGAGATTCCTTCAACAGGCAAAAGCAGAAAATTAATTTCTAACGTTCGCAGTCTTTATCGTATATATAAGATTCTTGATAACGATAGATAATATGTAGTCGAAGATACACCTATATCACGCAAGGGTAGACGTTTTAGTGGTATATTTTCAGTTGATAAAATTCATCCTTGGTTGGTTTATCTACGAAGCTATGAGTCGGATACTCAAAGTTCTAGTAGTAATACCGATGAATAAATAAGTATATGTTTACAAATAATTTGTTATTCGTGTTACTCATGCTCACTTTCTTCCTTTATTTTTGATTTACTGGTAGATAAAATAATTTACTATTTAAACAATTTTAGCTGTAAAAACAATCCTGATATTTGTTTATAAAAAAAAGAAAGCATATTATTTTTATTTAACATAGTGTATTATATAGATGTGTATAATAATTTATTAGGAAAATGAATATTGAAGACATGAAAAAAGGAAGAAGGGCTTCAGAATTTTTTCCTTACCTATTTCTTGCCTGTTGAAAACATGAAAAGGGTCTCATGCAGGTGATTATTGAAGCCATGAATGGGGCTTCAGTATTCCTTCCTTACCTATATCTTGCCTGTTGAGAACATGAAGTGGTCTCATTGCATGTGAATATTGAAGCCATGAATGGGGCTTCAGTATTCCTTCCTTACCTATTCCTTGTCTGTTGAGAACATGAAGGGGTCTCATTGCATGTGAATATTGAAGACATGAATGGGGCTTCAATATCATTTGCGATGTAATTTCATAAATTTAAAATAAAATAAACGGTAATATTACAAATAATACTAACTTAATATGATAATACATTTTCTATTTTCCTTTTACGGGACGTGAAAATGTCAGGAAAGGCCGATTGTTAGCAATTATTTATAAATAACAATTAAACATATACTGAATGACCCTAATTTTAATGTAATTGTCTGGTGAAACATACATCTAACTTTGATAAATGTAAATCGTATTTCCACTTTTGTATCTTTGAATTTCCGGTAAGATTTTTATTGTAATTAAGGAGATTCTTTAAGGAGTCAAATCCGAACTGATTTGACTCCTTAAAGAAAATATAAAAATGGCTGTCACGGCCATAGCTGGATTCATTCGGTTATAAGGTGTTCAAACTATAAGAGGCTTTAGTGTTTTTGTGTTGTGTAGTGAAATTAATAAGTAAAAGTGATTATTTATACGACAATTAGTTGTAACTTATGAACGGATCAAATAAAAGTGATATAATGTAACCTAAATTGTATTATTTGCTAACAGAACCGTCTTCTAAAAACTTAAAAGATGTGGAAATACTAAGAGACAATGCTAATACAAAATTCTTCAAAGAATTAAACTTCAACTTAGAAGCTAATAAGTAGAAATGATATTTCTACCGACATCAAAAAGGAGGAGGTACTCAATTCGACAGTATGCTTTTTTTAATGTGTGTTACCTCATAACTTTTTTCTGGGTGGACCAATTTCGAAGATTCTTTTTATATTTGATAGCTGGTGCTTCTCATGTAGTTCCCTATAAGTTTGGTTAAGGTCTGACCAATAGTTTTTTAGTTATGCTTAATAATCAATATTGAAGTCGGTTTTACAATTTTTTTTAATTTTAAATTATATTCTTTTTAATTTTTGAAGTCTTTTTAACTGTTTTTTTCCTTTGGATTGAACTACTGTATATTAAAAGTTCAAGGTAACAACTGGAATATCGTCTAAATAGCCTAACATTAGAAACTTCATCATCTATTTTATACCTTTAGGGTGCAACAAGGATCAAGGACATATGAGGGGCTCAAAAAATTTAGCCAGTACGGGAAGAACGCTAACCGGCCCCTAGTGTTTAATTTCGCTTCGAACACTTGATTTAGGAATGATCACAAAAAAGGTTATATCGCATATAGTTAGAAACAGCCTTTAGAAAGAAACCTATTGTATTGTATGTAGCACAAGGTATGTATGTAATGGTCGAAGGGTTAAGAGTTAAGACTAGACTTGCAACGAATAGTCGGCTATTATTCGGTATTCGGCCTATTCGGTTACTCTTATGTTATTCGACCGAATACCGAATACTTGAGTAAAATGTTTGTTAGTATTGGTAAAATGAAAATATTGATTTATTTTATAATAATGTATTTTTCTTGTAATCATTAGTCATAGTTACATAATAAACTTGCAAAATTAACAAAAAAAAAAAACAATGAAATAAATGTCTATGCACTTGAATTAACATTATAAAAAGGAGAAAGGCAAATTTTTCTATATTTTCAGGCAGTGGTTTATTTACTCCTCTGAATAAACACTACTATTTTCCCGCTCGAATACTTTTTCTAATATTCGGCTATTCGGCCAACAAGCCCGCAAAATATTCGGTATTCAGTGTGGCCGAATATACTATTTGTTACAAGTCTAGCTTAAGACAAACAACCCTCAATCTATAGCAGCGTTGATATACATTGAGCGTTGTTCTCTAGTCCCACGTCCAAAAATGTCCGGCTTGGTTTCCTGCTGGTCCTTTCCAGGGCAGTGGTATTTATCGAACCACTAGTCAAATTAAACATAAGAATAACTTTGAAGGAGTATTATTTGGAACCTATATTGAACTTCTTATACTATTATTTATTCTGTGATTGAACTAAAAAAAAATTCTTTTGGATTTTTCTCTTTCGTGGAGAGTATGATTTATGCTTGGATTGTAGTTGGATAGTCAATATAGCGCGCTGCAGCAGAGATGATAATATGCCACGCAGTTACAGTCTTAATTTAAATATAATTTAACTAAATAATATAATATATATAATATTACAAATTATACTATTTAGTTTGTTATATATAAATAATATAACAAACTAAATAGTATAATTTAACTACAAGGAATAAATGAAATCTGATATTGATTATATGTCGTTTAATGTCTTCAAAATTTATTCACTTCTCTGAAACATATTATTATAAGATTCAAAGGCAATTTTTTGTCATTACTAGATTTTGGAATTTACAATAATAATTTTACTTTTTATTCTCTAAGTTCTGGAACCAGGTTTGGCAGGTCTGTGATGCAATTTCACACAACGCCGTCATAGCTTTTTCAGATGTATCATATTCTGAAAGGTAAACAATATTAATTTTTAGTAAAGGTTTTAAAAATTCAAGTGACAGTCCATTTACGACCCAGTAATCTGTGTTTACGACTTTCTTGCGCGTGAGCGTGTTTTAGAGTTATTATTTATAGTTCCCTGTTCGCCGCGCTGTTCCAATGTGTTTGTGGACTCTACATGAAATGTCCCTCAAATAATTTATTTCTCAGATATGTAGGTTTCTTCACTATTTTTACCGAGCGAGCACGAGGTAAATAAGCAAATAAAACAGCAATTTTACATTGTACGTAGTAGAGCCAAGCAGCCAAGCTAGCAATGCTGCTGTGTTTCGTATGATGAGTGTAGAGGAACCTTTTTATTTGAAACGAGGCCATCTTAGCGATTCCATCTTAGCACTCAAGGGTGACATCATCTGTATTTTGATTCTTAATTAAGGATATATGTAGATGTCTATGTCCCACAGCATCCTCTTACCATCAGGTGGACTGTATGCTTGTTTGTCAACCTAATTCTATAAAATAAATATATATATATATTTAATATAATATATAAATGAATAATATATGCTACTCATATGAATAATCATCAAATCACGATACATTTTAGTTACGACATTAACTTATCATATTTTATAAAACTGTTAATAAAGGAAAAGGTAATTTTTAGAATGTGTACATTTACAGAAGAGCAGAAAAGAGAGAAGAGCTTGAAAAAATTTCATGTTAAAAATAAAAAGCGATCTCATTATCTCGAATCGATCGAATTACCGCTGGTCTTTGAAAAACACAAGCACAATAATTTTAAGCATGGTATTGTCCGAATGTTACCAAAAATTTTTAGTTATGGCGTAATTTTTGTCGTATTATACGTGGATTGGATGTCGTAAGTGATGTCCGAGGGATACTGACACAGGAGATGGGATCTATGAGAAATGAAGTTTTTTTACGAAATAATATTAATTATGAATGATATTAATTAAATTCAGGGATACTGAATATACTCAATATCTATGATCATAATAAGCTTCGTAGTACCTATCATCAGTAAAAAATTTCATAATTGATGGATTAAATTATTACCGATATTTCCTCGCTTTCCAAAAATAGATCCATTGAAAGGTGGTTTCCGATAGTTGGCTTCATTTGGAGAGATCAGGCAATAGATCACAATGATAAGGCAGAAGGCAACGACTGCACGCATTTTGAATCCTGAAATATAAATAAATCCTGGATATTAAATTGCGCACTTTAAAATTACACATTCTAATTGATACAGAGAGTAGAGCAGGACGCAGGTGGCTGAGGACCGGCAATAAGTGGGAAGACTTATTAATAAGTAAGTACCAGGATGACCGAGCTATGCTCGGTATTTTATTTGGGAAATTATATTTCAATTAAAAAATAATAGTATTATTTTTTAATATTATTTAATAATATTACTCGCCAATAGATGTCAGGCAGTCATATTTTTCAGTTTATGTTTAAGTTGATTATCGATAAAGAGTTATTGATTTGACTTTTATCTTTGTACAGAAACATCGCCAATAGGATAAAAATATGTCGGTTTGTTTACTAATGTAATTACTACCGTATTCTTTTTTTTAAAACTCGTTCATTTTTTTCCCAAAAGGGCTCCCAATAATAGTCTTTCTCACAAAAGAAAAAACTTGAAAAAGATTAATCGGACTGGAGACATCTGGTTTCGGTACCGCCCGAATTCCCACCTGAGCTACTATAACCTAATAGATAGTGGGAAAATTTACCTTCGTATTCTAATGATATTGTAACAGTTTTTCATGGCCTGAAAACACGGATATA